AAACTGAGATATCCAGAAAAGGCATGGCACGTGGATCTAGAACAATCTACCTTCATTAACTCAATAAATGGTTCAGTTCGAAATCCTAAATCTGAAGGCAGCCGGAGCGTACAACGGCCGAAACGTTGTGAATATCTTATCAGAGATAACCGAACAAAAACCGAACAATGTAAATCGTGCATTTTATTAATTCATTTGACACTTATGTGATCTCATTGCTTCAAAAGTCATTCAATGCTATCAGAATCTTATGATTATCTCAACTGATCCATTTTTTTTCTTCATCTTACTCATTGCTCTGCTCTCATATATTATGCTGTAAGTTAATTCGTAAATTCATATATGGAGTCAAATTTAATAAAATAATTGAGTCCCTTAGTCGACATATTCTATCCGAATAATAATAGAATTGTACTATCTTTACGAAAGATATATTAGACGGAAAACGGTTATCTATCATACATATCCTCATAATTTGTGCATACTTCTACCTCATTCAGTAATTGTCTATATTGAGTGGCTCATGGGCCCTGTTTTGCTTGAAAATCTTCGTAAATAAAAACGCCGTATATAACAAAATTCAGTAAACTCAAAAAGTATATAGGACATTTTAAAGGCAATAAAGACAGAGGTTAGGGTTAGGGTTAGGTTACCGCATAAGCTAGTTAACGAGTTTGAGTAAATATTTTGTAGAACAGAGAGTGTCATAGCCAAAGATCTAAAAAAGACAGGAAAATGTGGAGAGCAATGAACATCCACAACCTGAAAAGATACGATATATAGACTAAGAATGATTCTGTCTTAAAATGCAACATTCTACTGATTTCTCTCTATAATGAAGAAAGCACATATACAAAATAGTCATAATTAATTTCATAGGAGAAATTTAATATCATCTACACGCTCAATATTTTAAATTAAAATTTGATGTAAACTCTTTAATTTTATATAGGGTATACAGATATCTCGTAGTAAGTCTGCTAACCAGAAATTGTTTACGACTCCTTTTATTATGTTTATGATATGCAAACTCCGGCAGTGGGAAAGTTACTAGTAATGCCAACAGAATGCTAAAATTTTATTGTTGTATTCCTGTGAGCTTTGTTCATATCATATCCAATAAATCATTAAAGGAAATATAAATATATTAAAACGTATGCATCTTTTCAAGATAGGAATCTTATTTATTTGTTTTTGTAGGAGAGATGATTTAAACATGGTTTATTAAACATGCGAACCGCTGGCCACATGTGTCGCATCACCCTCAACTACGCTGACTTCGACTATATAGTTCATTCATATCATTCTCTTTAAAATGAATTAAGAAAAGAAAAATATTTATGTTAACTTTCGATTACGTTTGAAGTTAGCGCCCTTGCATACTGCATAGAGAGTTGCCGCCCATTTACAGATGGTCCAATGAAATAATGTAAACAAGGGAGGCCATATTAAATTAAGTGGAAATTACTGAAAAGAAGTCACGTGGAGAAAATAAAATTATCTCTTGAAGCAGATGAGGCGTAGTATAAGTTCAAGTTAATTTTGCTTTGAAGTCTTTATTGTAGAAGAGAACGCACTTAACAAATAACCTCGTGTATTTCATGAACAAATGAAATTGCTTGTATTATTTTAGTTGAACTAAAGCGGAAATGCTTGCTTTGTAACATATAAAGAAGTCTATAACTTTCGAAAGCATTATATAACCATGCAAATTACAAAGTAGTTAATATGGAATATATAAACCTGGGAAAATTTAAAGAGATAAAAATAATTGTAAATAGTTATTATTTAAATATGCTTATCAAATCGGTAATTGCTATATCATCCAAACACTTTTCCGATGGAAAGATATATGCCCGCAAAACCGACTACTATTTCTAAACGTAAGTTCCGCGAGAGACACAATTACAGAAGGAAGCGTTGATATATCAGAGAAACTTAAAATTCATTTCAAAATATTCAAAATCTTTACAGTATTTTTGTTGAACTGATTCAAGTACAGAAGTGGATTACAACGGTTTAGACACGTGGCTTAGAAAACATTTGTTTTTTAGAGAAAAAAATGTTGAACCGTTACCAAGGAATGAGACACCAAAAGGACACTTTATTTAATGAATTTGCTAGAGAGGTGCTACAGAATAAATGAATTGTTCTTGGATGCAAACTTTCCCTCACTTTCACATCGTAATTGATTGGTAGAAACGGTGGTGGATCAAAGAACTTAAAGGCATAACACAACTGAAAATCCAATCATAAACTGTATTTTTGTTGCAATCGATAACTATTTTGCTGTAAACTACTAAAATGAATAGCATCAAGGATTTCGTTAGAAATTATTATATAGTTATACAACGGCTGAAAAACAAACAGTTCAACTACTTATCAGTGGTAAGTCAGAACATAGAGAGATTGACATATCACACTAATTTGACAGTGAATCGTACAGAATTCGTTTTATGAAATGTGATGTGAAATACAGATATTTTATGCAACCTAAAGGAAATAGCTGAGCAGGAACTGAACAATGAGGATAGGTTTCAAGTTCTAGGTTTTCTGGGAAGATATCTTCTGAATGCAAAGGTAGAACGAGGCGACAATTTGATGGTATTATTCATGCTATTGATTGTCAACTTACACATTTTGAAACGTAACTGTTAAATATTAACATTATACACGTTCATACCTTAAAATCCATGTGTAGTTTTGTTTCAATTGTCTCATAGATATTCATTTTGTAAATATTTTCAAGAAATTTAGGGAAAAAAAGTTTGATTTTAAATAGCGTGGGAATGTTTGTATTCATGTTTTATTACAGACAGATTTTCTGTTCTAATAGGCTACCAGTGATATTTTGAGCTCTAATGTTATTTCGTTTTAAAGAATAAATATTCAAATGTCAACATTAAAATATTTTATCAGTTTTTTGGGGGTCATATAAGTAAAATTATGAAATGTTTCATCTCAAATCTTAGATGAGTCTTCGGAATGATATATATATTTATGAAAGAATATTTTGTTGCCAAACGCTGATGCACTGTTCCACAGCATCTTCAGTCCCAGACTAATTCGGATGATCGCACTGTGGTGTGAAAACACAGTGCCAATGCAGTGCTGATGTCTCTGTCTAAAATGTCTCAAAAGGGAGTTCCCACCATTTTGTCCACAAGGAAAATCATTAGGTCCTTGCGCAAATGATATTAATAAAATGTAAATCGGCAAGGAAGATTCACAGTAATGTTCTTTCAATCCAACCGCATCACTTTCCACATTCCACATCATCTTCTTTGCCCGATTCAATCGTTGATCTTTTTGAGTTTTGAAAGTTAATTTCTTGGCCTCGAGGATTTTATATCACCTACATTTTAAGAAAAGCTAAAGAAAAGTTTCTATTTCTATACTTGAAACGGAAAAAATCAGCAATAAATGGATTTCTTCTTCATATAACATCATCTATCTCCCTAACCCTAACACTGTGTTTTAGGGAAAAGTCCAGCTAATTTAGGATATAAACAAAAAGGTAATTGAGACTTGGATTGATGTAAGATGATCCATAGCTAAAATGATAACAGCAAATCAAGCTAAAAAGATAGTTTCAATATAAAAACAAAAGTAATGTAACTTCGATTCCTGACGAAGAAGATATTTAATTGAATAAAACATTCGTTGTTTTAGACGGTAGACGTTAATTTCACAATTTATAAATAAACAGGGATCATTATTCAGATGCATCTAGCCAATGAAATAACACAAAGATATATAGACACACATATGCTTGTATTGAAATATCTCTAATATAGATATGACTGAGATTTTATAAAAGTGAAACCTGTTAGACTGATATGTGTTTTCTATTTGTTCTTTATTTTATCATCCTGTCAGATTGCCATCCACATTTGATCTGCATTTGATATTTAACTCATATATTTCGGTAGAACAGCGATATATATATATATATATATATATATATATATATATATATATATATATATAATATTGTATTAAGGTATGAAATATTTATTGGTTAAAGTGCTCAATATCAGGTATAGTGCGTATGTAATTATAAAAGTTGACATTGAAATCAGTACCCAGAGGCGACAGTCTGGTCTGTCGATTGTGTCTAGCATGAAACATAGTGATGTCTTTGGCTGTTGATTTCGAGATATATATATATATATATATATATATATATATATATATATATATATATATATATATATATATCGCTGCTCTACCGCTACTTCCAAAGAAAGTACTCGGACGAAATATATTGCCTGAATCTTTCAAGTCAAACTTTCATGTCAAGAACACGCCATGGCACAAACATTTAATGACAACAGACGCATTCCCTCAGGAAGTAAGTTGAACTCGCGCAGCTTCTTCTGAACCTTACTGTAAATATATATATATGTTTCATGCTAGGTGCAATCGTCAGGGCGACTGACGATTGCGCTTAGCATGAAACAGTCTGTCATCTCCGAGTGTTGACTTCAATGTTCACTTATATATTTATATTTACATACGCTCTATCTCTGTTATTGAGCACTTTATCCCATAGATATAACACACCTTAAAACTATATTTCCTCGAGTTCTACAAAAAGTTTCCATTTTATTTCATATATTTCAATAAATTTATCTGATTTTAATCCTTTTTATATTTACATTCACTTTATTTTTTGATCGCTTTTTTTACTTTATTTTTTTTTTATTTTTCCTTTTTCCCTCTTTTATCTTTTTTTATTCGTTTCCCCTTTGTCGTTTTATTATGTTCTATTGATATTCTTTACATAAACCTTTGTTGTTGTTGTTGTTGTTGTTGTTCTTCTTCTTCTTCTTCTTCTTCTTCTTCTTCTTCTTCTTCTTCTTCTTCTTCTTCTTCTTCTTCTAACTGCACCGGCAAAATGAACACGGAAGTAGTCGAGAATGTTTTATGGGCGTATTTCGGCCGGGTGGGATAAGAATGGTCTTCATAGAGATTTCGGTGGTGTACCGGGATCAAAATTATTTGAAACGCGCGTGCACGCGAGCGAAAGAGAAGAAAGAAATAAAATGATATAAAGAAGAGAGAGATAGATAGATAAAGTGACGGAAAGAGAGAGAGAGAGAGAGAGAGGGGGGTAAAATTGGGAAAGGTGTAGAAAGAATATCACACTTCCAGCATTGATGTATGGTCATTTGGCTGGACAATGCAACGATAGGCATATATCCGATCCACTCTTCCCAACCAGGCCACAAACCCCAACTCACCAGCTTACCCCTTCCGATTTCCCTCGTGCCATTTCGCTGCAGGCCACTTTCCCGTGGACAGATTAACTATTAGCTGTAGCAAATTATTTCATTGGGCATATTGGGAGTTTTACGGGCAGGGAAAGTTTGGGATAGAAAGGCAAATGCCCACCAAGGTGACGGAAGAGAAGGAAGCAGGGTCTGTCTCCTAAGGAAGTCGGCCCAGAAGATTAGAGTCTTGGGGTAGGATAGGTATGGCGTGAAAAGAATGTTGCAAGAACCGGGTGAGAGAAAGGGAGAGAGAATATGTGGGAGAAGGAGGATAAGAAAGTTTAGGGAAAAGGTGTGGATAAAAAAAAGAAACACTGGTGGAAGAGGTGGTGGCAAATTTGCTGGACAGAAAAGACTTCAAATCCTGACCATTATGTTTAAGGACGTGACACTTAGTGGACAGCGTCCGAATATGAAAATGTTGAAATTAATAAGAAAAGAATAAAGTAACTGATACATACAAAATACACAGACATGCGCTTACGTATATATATATATATATATATATATATCTGAAAGATGATGTCCAGTTTTGAAAGGGAAGGGTACAAACAGAGTTCATATTTTGTGTGCAGGGGAAAATAAATAACTTGGGCATTTTTGTTTCGACGAATCAATACATCACCTCCTCCTGGTTCTCTTCTATTGAAAAATGCAGGTGTTTCTGAAAAAAATTAGAATGATGTTTAAGAAATACGATAATTTACCTGGGAGAATAGACATTGTCTTCAAGAATAGAACACTTTCTTGTGAATGGAATGACTAATTTGGAAAAGAGTCAATTTCTTATTTTGTTTGCTTTTGTTGATATTTCATTCTCACCGTCTTTTTACATGCATCCTTTTTCCCATTCTTCTCCTGACTTTCATGTCTGCTCCTGTTTAATTCAAGTTTCTCTTTCTTTCTAAGTATGATACAAACTATACTGTCATTATTTCTATTCTCTTCTTTTCTTTTTCTATATACTTTCTTCTCTTTTAAACGTTCAACTCAAATTCGCAATTTTTACTAAAACTATTTCCTGTATTTCATTTATTTTTATTTTTTATTCGCTTCTTTTTTTTTCTTTTTTGCCGTACTTTTCTCTTTCTTTCACATTTAATTTTTGTCTTTGTTTCCTTCTTTTCGTTTTTCATTCTTTCTTTCTTTTTTTGTTTGATTCTTTCAAAATGACATATCATTATATCCTTTGAGATTATTTTATTCATTATCTTACCCTTTTTATTGTTTCCTACTTTCGTCTTTATAATAAACCTTCTTTCTTTCTTTCTTTCTTTCTTTCTTTCTTTCTTTCTTTGCGGCCTTTCCTTTTTTATCGTTTATCCTTACGTTTCATTCTTTTCTACAACGTTTCTTCTTTTCTTAAGTCTAATTTCCTTCCTTTCGTCATTTCTTTCCTTCATGCTTTCTTTCCTTGTCTTCCTTTTACCTTATAGTGTCTCCTTTAATCATTCCCTTTTGCCTTCCTTCCA